CTATAGAGAAGTATTTGCTCTTAATTTCGGGTGCAATAAAGAATCTAATTACATTCTTCCAACAGTGTTCTCTCCAAGCACGTGAGGATGTTGTGTTCTCCAATATCAAACTGTTCATCTTCTGAAATGTTCACATCCAATTCCTTTTCCCATTCCCTCTGCTCTTTACATCTAGTGTTGTATTTCCTCCACTCTCCTTTAGATGCTGATATAATGTTGATATTACTCTGTATTTCTTCATGTTGTAAAAGCGAATTATGGTTCAAATTATCCCATTTTTATCTAAGATCCTGTGATGCTTTATTTCCCCGCCATAAGATTCCCTTCATTTCAAATGTCTGAAGTAGCCCTGGTTGTTTAATGCATAGTTTTGTTTCACTCGCTAGAAAGCCATTACATTACCATCTTTTGTTATGGTGCATAATGCTGTTATACCACTTGGAATCCATTGTTTGAACCTCTGATCAAGCATGCCAGGGATAAAATAAGCTTTCCATTGAAGAAGTCTGAGCTCTTTCCCCAATCGATGTTTTTGTACCAGATTAAACCGCAGCTCTAACGTCAATCGAGTGACAGCATCTACATGTTCAAGCAAGTCTTTTTTACAAGTTTGTCTCCAATGAGGCTTTGAATTTCCCGTCCCTGTGCATGTAGCTCAAGGTTTTTTCCATCTGCTTCATTAGTCATTAGTGCACCAGTAAATTGCTGGTCTAATTTATGCTGCATGGAAATATTAACCCCCTTTTTTTTTATATATTTCCTGATCTGTAATGTTTTAAATTGGTCTCTTGGTCTTTGACCATTCCATATGAACCTTGAAATAACTTTATTCCAGGCTTTGATTGAATTGTTTCACATGTATTTCAATAGGCAATGACTGAAATAATTAAAGAAGTCGTGGAAGGACATTCATTTTTATAATATAGTGTCTGATATCTGAAGTCTAGAGGATAGCCCACCTCTCAGTATTGTTCCTTATGTCCTGTTCCGCTATGATACAGTCTACTTTATGGAGTGTGTTGTTAAAGTGACCTCGGGGGATGGTTTTTTTTGGAACTCCAACGCAAGTTAAAATTTTGTTGCATAGTTATGGCAGGCTAGTAATTCATCATAAGAATCTGTGTTTTCGCTAAATTCAATTTATATCCAAAAGCCAAACATCCCAAGTTGATTGATTAAGACAGGGAGGTTTATGTCTGGCTCCTCTAAAGCCTGATGATGTTCTTCATTCCCGACCTTTACCCCTTTAAGATCTTTATTCTGCCTAATAGCTTTTGCCAGAGGCTCTATAAAAATTGCGGCTAAGGTCAGGGAAAGACAGCAACCCTGCCTGATAGACCGTTCCAATATTATACTATCAGTCAGACTACCATTTATTTTTATCCTTGCAGTTGGATTTTGATAAAGTTTTTTTAATACACCGGACAATCTTCCCATTTAGTCCAAATTCCTCAAGCGCTAGATAGAAAAGTCCAGTTTTGGCATCCCTTAATAAAAACCTGTATGATCTATCTATCTTCTATTATGTCATCCAAAAATTAAAAATAACTTCATTTGTTTTTGCAATAACCAAGGTACACAATTTATAATTTATGTTCAGCATGGATATGGATCTATAAACTGAGCAAGTCTCACTGCTCCCTCCCTTAGGGCTCACTGATATTACATCTTCCTTCTACGAGGGTGGGAGTTCACCATGTTCAGGTGTACAGTTAGATGAAGGCTCAAGTAATGGTATAAGTTGGTCACTGAATGTTTTTGTAGCACTCTGCTGGCGGACCGTCACTGCCAGGTTTGTAATTTGTTTTTAATCTGCTCACTGCTGTTTCTATTTCAGTTTTTGTAAGGGCTCTAGTCAGACGGTCATTCTGATCTTTCCCAATTGCTGGAACTTGTAGTGACTTCTATAGCAGCGTGCGCCTGCAGGTAAAACAACACCACATATGATAGATTACCTTATCATACTCTACAAGCAGCAATATTAGAGCTTTACTCTATTAGTGCTCCCTAACCAGGTTTCACTGTCATTGCTGAGCTTTAGCATGAGGACAGTGTAATATGCAATTTGCTTTTGTATTAACACTGCAGACTGAGTGATAACTTCATTGAACTGCATAGATAAGCGGCGTATTGCATCGGGCATAGAGATCTAACTTTCTCACTGTAATTGGACTTCATGATGAATGGCATTGTGGGTCCTAATGTGGCAGTATGGTTTCATCTTGGGCCTCTGGCTCTCACTGGCTATTATCTCCATCCCGTGGGGATACATTGTGTCTGAGCCTTTGTTGGCTCTGCGCAGTGGAGTGGAGGACCTAATCTATTTATCACAGGGTCTGCGTGACCACCCAGCCAGGCTGCTATATCGGATCATACTAGGCTCCCTTGTGCTCCTCCTCAAGGGAAGGAGGAAGCGCCGATGTAACATGCAGCTTCACACCTGTCAAACAGTGCTGGGGTTGGTCATCCCTGAGGAATGGAGCGCAGAGGGCAACGCATTTAAATGTCTTTTGTGTCATGGTTTACTTGGCGAAAGAAATCTGGGATTTTGTCTCTCGCCACAGAGGATGTAATCTTCAGAATTTAGTGTTGCAACATTCAGAGGCTGAATCAATACGTTTTAAAGAGGAGGTATCACTCAGAACAAGAATCGTCTGGTGTTGGGATGGATTTTCGCAGTTTGAGATGTTATTGAAGTGTTGTTGAAGCATGAATCTGGGACTCACTGCTTCACCAAGTTTTTGACATGATGAAATTGCATCATTCAAGCAAAAAACTGTTGAACTGCCCCACAGTGTGGTGTCACAACTGGAGGAAAAAAAAAAACAAATGGGGTTCAGTATCAAACTTTTGTAATTCAGAATCAGAGTCAGTTTTTTAACTTGCCACTGTAGATGTAGAGAGCTGAAGGGAAATCAGAGCGTTTGTTTAAGAATTGTGGAAAAACTCCCTTCAATAACACATTTACATCTTCAATAATGGAAATGACTAAAAATTCAACCTTACAGTAAATCTTTGCTTCACTCTTTCTCTACACAGGGATGGTAAATATTTAAATGTTTCTGTTTTTAATGCATTCAGTGAATGCAAGTAAGGCTTTACCAACTTGACCCACATGCAAATGCACGGTCCATGTGACTGTCCCTTAATAGCAGAATACCCTCGCAGTGGTGAAACATTTGTCGGATAACTTCTTCAGTAACTTCTTACACACAACATAACAATGCAAACAAATAACTTTGTCCTATATCCCAAGGCAAGGCAAATGTATTTGTGTAGCACATTATCATATACAGAGGTCTTCCAGTGTGCTTCACAGAAATAAAAAAAAAAAACACAAGCACTGCAAATAAATTTTGCCACATAAACTGTCCCCTTGCTCAAACACAAACTTCATTCATTGAGTTGTAGATGGATAAAATATGGACACTGGAAGATGGCATGGTTGGTTTTAGAAGACAATGTCGGTAGATATATTTTTTGTTCATTATTTTTAATGCAAAACGTCATACAAATGAAGTAACACTGCCACCTAGTGACCACACAAACTTTGGCGGATAAAAACAAAGAAAGAAACAGTCATGATGACATATACAGTAATACGCATTCTGCAGCAATGGTAAAAATGCTGTAGTTTTTCATATCAAATAAACTGTATTATTTATTAACTTTGTAAAAATCAAGAAGGGTCCAGTTCATAATAGCAGGTGCTGTAGGAGATACACACGGGCTCTCCAGGGTATGTAAGGGAGGGGCCGGGGTCTGCTGTGCGGCCAGCCAATGAGTGCAGTTAATTATAGTATTAAAATAACTCTGAACAGTCTGTAGAGGTTGTTGTGAAGCTCTGGAGGTCAAATGATATTTCGTGAAACTTTTGGTGAGGAAAGGTCACCAGTGTACTTCCAATTTGCCTCAAAAATAAAAATATATATATATATATATATATTAGGTTCATAAGTGCGGTTGTGTACAGGGACACCATACACATATCATTAAAACCATTGTTGGAGCTGAGGACACGGAGAGCATCTGAGTTGTGAAGTTCAGCCTATGCAGAGGCAGCAGTTCACATTTAATCAGTGGCTTGAATGTGTCATTCGTCTCACATCCTTGACGCTTTGCCGCGCCTTTCCAGCGCGGCATCCGTGTGTACAGTGTTTCATTTGGTGCTCATTACGCAGACCGCATAGACTAGACGACCAAATCTTGAGTTTTAACTGACGTTTCCATGGCAACGCGCCACTGAATGGGAAGAGGTGAGGTGCGTAGTGTATTTTGCCTTGAGTGGCTGTTCTTATCCAGATGACTCTCCCATCACTCAGTCAGGAACGAGGACTGGGGCCGTTTATGGAATCCACTTCCTCCAGCCTCCACCAACACAGTCCAGCCAACAGGCACATGGAGCATTTGCACGCTTTGTAGCGCATCACGATCAACAAAGCACAGCCACAAGACTAGGACAAAGGAGCTCGTCAAATGTTGCCGATGGAAGCCAAAGAGGTTAGAAGTGTATGGTTTTTCTCCTCCTCAGGAGAGGGAACTCAATTCCCCTCCATGGTGTTTGCTTACCCAAGTGTAGCATGAAATCCTATCAGTGGAAATACTGAGGGAGGGACCTGGCTATACTAAACACTTGCCCAGTGGTCATACAAGTGGTCTGATGGAAATCAGAAAACTTTGCGTATTGTGTATTGTAAGCCGCTGATTTCTCATCCTGACAACTGGATATGTGAAAGACAGCATCCCCTCTACAGTGTAGTTAATGAAAACACCATCTCCTGTCACTGACACTCCATCTCCAACATAATGGAGCTTTGGCTATCAATATGTGAATGTCCTGTAGCGGTGAAAATTAATCTCTGGTGCCTAAAGTACATGATAAGATGTGTGAATAATTCACGGCTTCTTGTTTATCTGACCTTGAAACTGTATGTGTGTGTGTGTGTGTGCGTGTGTGTGTGTGTGTGCGCGCCTGTCTGTCTTTCTGTGTGTTTTGCTAGCTGGGAAGTGCTGCGGTTCTTATTGTCAAACCTGCGCTGGTGGATGGAGGAGTACCGCTTTGACGGCTTCAGATTCGATGGTGTTACGTCTATGCTCTACCATCACCATGGCATCGGTAAGACTGGTTTGTGTGCATCTCCAAATTCAGGAATGGGTAGTGTGTGTAAAGCATGTCCCATCCTCCCCTATTTTTTACAAATAAATGCAGCTAAATGAGACACTTATTTATGGCATGAGTTGAAACTGAGCTCTTCCCAAGCAGAACAGTCACTATAATGGCGCCTAACCTGTTCCTCTACAGTATTTCAAATGAGGTCTTTTTTCTGAGTGAAGTGTGCAATTTAACATAACACAACGGGGCCTGATTGGATATTTTATCAATTATTCAATGAGGAGAGCCAGTTAAACAACAATTTTGTCCTGGATGCACACAATGCATTGTGGTGAGACAGATGGAAAATGTCCCAAACTTTGAATGTAATTGCACAAAAACAAAAGACAGTTTTAAAATGTTCTATATCAAAGATAGAGGTCACGGATGTACATTATAAAGAGAATTAAAAAGTAGAAATCCACATAGTGATTTGCAGTAGCCACCACACAGCATTGAACATGTGTATTTGATATTATGAATCTTTGGATATCTGAAGTACCGGTAGGTGTTAGAATAGATGTGTCTCCGTACTAGTTTCTAACCCAAATCAGCCTAAAAATGAACCATATAAAATTACATTTATGTCTTTTATAAGAAAGTCTGTTCAGGAATATATGGACTGAAACAGTAGCATTCCTTAAAAAAAAACAAAAAAAACTGAGGAGTGAAGGATTTTAGAAGTTTGGGTAGAAAAATATGACGAGTGTTGACTGTGTGGGTGTTTACTCCTCAGGCGCAACCTTCTCAGGGGACTACAGCGAGTACTTTGGCCTTCAGGTGGACGAAGACTCTTTGGTTTACCTGATGCTTGCCAATCACATTCTTCATACCCTTTATCCTGACTGCATCACTGTTGCAGAGGTAAAAAACACAGCACCACTCATACCGTCAGCATCCGCTCACATTGCAATGACACTGCCCACAGCTATTATTAATTAAAAACACTTATTAGTTAGGCATAGCTTACTTACGTATTCATTGGTGTAATTAAGAAGTAATGCAAAAGGAAATGGGATGTCACTCTTTTTTGGCCTGTGGTATAGGATTTTTGCCCCTTAATATGTGCGCTGTGGAGTGGCATTGATGTGATCTTGGCTGACTTCTGGGAAAGAAACCTGTGCACACCAAGAGAAAATGTGATATGAAATAGTGTGACTTCTCCGCAGGATGTGTCAGGGATGCCTGCTCTCTGCAGAGCAGTGGAGGAGGGAGGACTTGGTTTTGATTACCGACTGGCTATGGCCATTCCTGACAAGTGGATTCAGGTAAGATGATTCACTTCTTTTTAATCTCCCTCTTTTTTTTTTCTTTGTCCCCTGTCTGTTTTTTTTTTTTTTTTTTGTTGTTTTTTTCTTCTACTTCTCCCCAGCAACTTTTACAGACACTGTGGGCCTGAGCTCTCACAGAAACATCCGTAACAGCCACAAATAGAGAGAAAAGTGAAAGCGTTTGTTTTCAAAACAGGGATGAAAGACAAAGGGAGTGACAGGGCATGTTAGGAGGCATTAAGCACTCTCGTGGTACATTACAGCTGATCTTGTTGCTAAGCTTTTGAGCCTTTCCAGAAGCTTTCAAGTGTAAAACTTGTTTAGCAGTATAGTGACATGAGAATCTTGCCCTATATTTTCCTGGAGATGCCTGCACACTCTGGTGCTCTGGTGTAACTTGAATGGTCATGGAGCCTTGATACACCTAGAAACATGATGCAACATGTACAGGGAGAAATAGCACCATTGTTACTGATTCACAAATGCAGGAGTACACTATAAATGCTTATATATCCTTAGAAAATGTCTTCTTTATACTCTGTGTATGATACTATTAGAATAGAATTGTCCTGGGATAAAGGCTATAATATTCAGTTTTTATAGATTGTGTCATGGAGGCATTTATTTACTGCAACTCGATATTGTTTTTGTATTAGATTGAATTACATTATGAGGTATTTATATTGCATTATACTCTTTTATTGGACACTTATTGTATAGGCAACAAACTTTGCTTGTAATCTTGTAAAAATGTTCTTTTTTTTTTCTTACCTTAATTGTAAAGAACATGGGCTCATACTTTTAGTAATACTGACTATACTATAAAATAGAGCACTGCTTTTACACTGCTGCTCCTCAATCCTCAATTTCATTGCACCTTTTCATACTTAAAATACAGTTTTAAAATGCTTTACATAAAAAATGAAACAACTTACCAATAATAAAACAAAGTGAAACAACATAAAGATTTTTTATTACAGCTGCAAGCGGTTAAATGCCAAACAGACTTCTGAATATAAGGACCACGTAAAATGATAAATCAGTATTCAAAGAATTGTGAAACAGATAACGATGACTGTATTCCTACAATCATAATGCACATGAATTGTCTGGATTTCTCTGGCTGCTATGGAGAAAAAGGCATGAAGTCTCTCCATGTGTGAAGAGACTTTGCACTTGAGTCGTTTGTTTTCACTCTGAGCTGCAAGGTTTTTTCTTCTTCTTTTTTTTAATCAAACTGAAGAAGGTCTTTGTGCTTTTTCTAAAGGAGCGCTAATTTATTTTTCTTTTTTTCTGACTTAATCCTACCTGCTGTGCGAATGGGAAGGTCATAATTTATCCCCCTTCGAACATAAAGTTATGAATAAATGATGGAAGAGACATAATTCTTATTGAAATTAGAAGCATTTGACTTATTCATTCATAATGACCTTTTTCTTAGATCAGTAATAATTCCGAGTCCTTTACATGGATGTATGTTTTCACTTGAAAGACAAGCTTTAATAATGTTAACATGAAGGTCATCTAGTCACTGATCCAGGCTGAAAATTCTTTTGTGATGTTTTTTCCTTGAGTGGAGTGTTTGAATAGGCTCACAGCCACCTTTACATTTCACTTTGATTCATTATTCAGTCTGAAATGTCTGTCCTTGGGGTAGCTTTAAATGATGTCAAAGCAAACGTTATTTTTCGTTTTGAATTCAATGCTCTGTTGATTTTTACCAAACCAGTCGAGACATTCTGAATAGCTGAAAATTAGAAACACAACAACCAACAATAAATGCTCATCCTCATGTCATCCTCACCTCATTGTCAGGGGGAATACAGAGAATGATTTCGCCCACAATGAATGAAAGAGGAAAATGGTCAATTGTTTTTAAGGATAATGGGTAATACCGAAACATAAAAAATATATGTTTTAAACTGAATTGAAGGGATTTTGCAGGAATAAATTTCATTAAATGGCAAAAGAGCATGAAATGAAATCTGGATATTTATTGAGCCATGACTCCCTTCACCATATTTCTTATGCTTTTTCAGGCTTAAATGAATGTTACAATGTCATTTTTATTTTAACATATTTACAAATCTGTTTTTTTTTTTAATATATTGTGACTCTAAACTTCACATTTCCCATCATAAATACATTTTTTTAACTGTAGTACTGTAGCAGCAGGAGCAGCAGTAGTAGTAGTAGTAGTAGTAGAGTGAACATTATCTAAGAAATGAACCACATTGTCATTTGATAGTTGTTTTGATTGTACTGCTCTGTGGAAGAGAGAAGTCTTGTGAGTAAAGGTTCTGTTGGCCAGAGCGGTTTTCTTGCCTTCTGTCAGAGTTTTTGAGTTTTTTCCATGTTTGGTGAAGGTTAGCATCAGTCATACTGTACAGCAACGTTTGCAGCTCTTTGCTCTGCTCTCTCCCAGACAAAATGTTACTAATGTGTACACACTCCAACACAGAAACACCTACTGAAGGAAAGATAGCGAGCAGCCTCCACAGTGGTAGATGACTCCCATCCCTCTGCTTTTTGTATTTAATTCTCATAGATAATTTACCAATATTTTACTTGGACAGACATGGTGGACCTGAAATGCCTAAATTAGGGAGGCTGTAGTTTTGTAATTTACAATAAAAAAAAAAATGTAATTTTCCCTTTTAATTTTCACATTATGATTTCCACTGGTGGTTAGTTTTTACATAAAAGTCTATGGAGCTCTGAATGAGAGTTTTAACACTAGATTTAGCACATAAAATCAGTCGTCAGCTGGGCCAACAATTATGAGAAAATGAACATGGTGACAGTGATGGGACCTAATTTTCAGATCATTCAACCTCAGTCTGATACAGTATTTAGGATGATAACAGAAACAGTGACAAAAACAACTTAAATATTTAATATCGCTTCTTAAATAGAGCTTTCTATCACTAATCATTACTGGCAGAGATGATAACACTATTGAGTGAGGTGTTACCACCCGGCGCTGCTTCAGACTGGATGAGAAATTCTGGGCGCCAAATATTCTCCGTCCTTCCACAACAACTGCTGAAGCACCCTTTAGCTCGGCACTTCAGCCCAAACTGCCACTGTGAAAGTACTTAATGGCCCACAATGGGAAAACATTGTTCATAACTGTGCAGCCATCAGGTATGAAAGTCCATAACTGAAGCCAAGTAGCACAGGGATAGTGCAAGCATACCCATCCATCCATCCAGAAATAAATAAAGGTTATTATATATTTCTTCATCTGAAAGTTTTTGTTTCTTGCCTTTTCTGTTTTGATGGCACCGACATCCAGCCGCACATGGGTTTTTTTCCAGCCTTGTTTTGGAGCAGTGTTTGCCTCTTCTGGAGAACTTGGATAAATTTACAGTACTTGGGATCAGTACATAACTCATAATTTATTTTCTTGGCCCCGTTGGTGTTTTCTTCAAAGTCTGTATTAATAAAAATGCCACCCATTCGTCGTTGGTATGCCAAAGTGTTTTTATGAAATCAGCAAATATTACTTTAGAAAGTACATTTGTAGGGAAACAGAGCGGCAGCAGGTTATCCCTGGGGATGTTTCTGTCTGTTTGGGTTGGCTGGTGAATGTGGATTGTTTTGTGTCCTGTTTGTGTGTGTGTGTGTGTGTATGTGGTGTGTGTGTGTGTGTGTGTGTGTGTGTGTGTGTGTGTGTGTGCGTGCGTGCATGCGCGCATGTTTAGAGAAGCAGAGAGCTGCTCTTCTTTGATATTTGACAAAAAAATGCTGTTTGCAGAACGCCTAAAGAGGTTATCCGTTGTAAGATTCATGTAAAGCTGTGTCTTTTTTATCTACGAGCCCACACTGGAAGTTATATTTGCTCGTATTTTGGTGAAAAAGCAAAGCGAAGTGTGTGACCTCAGCGCCGCATGCATCCTCTTGCACTACAGTTTCTTGTGTTTCTCAATGGGGGAAGTCTATGCATCGTTAATCAAGTCTGTCTCTCGCAGCGGTGGGTTTTACTCAGTAGCGGAGATGGAGGGAGGAGAACAGAGGGGCAGAGGGAGGGAGGGAGAGGATGGGAGGGGGGGGTAGTCCCAGACTTGACCTTCCTCGGTGATGCTTGCACTAGCTGTGCGGCAGGCAGTGCTGTACCGCTGAGACGCAGCCTCCTCCACGGTAACCAGAGTTTTCACAGGATTATCCTCGGGATGCCTCAGGAGAGGTTGCTGCTGCTTTTACTTTTCAAACAATATTGCTTGCGATGCAATATTCATTTAGATCCTTCTTCTGGTTGCATTATATTTCAATTAAATTTGTTGCTTCCCCGATGAGAGTCAACGCCACGTGAATCGTGAAGATGGAGGGGAGCAAGCGAGCGGTGAAATTCATGTATTTCTGTGCAGGGAAGCATTCATATGAACATGCCTTGGTATAGCCAGTGAAGTGCACTCAGGGCTCGCCTTGCCTCTTCTCACAGAGTGTCAATTAGGGAGGGATTTGAATGGACTGAAGGGGAGCCTCCAGTGAGGTGTGTGTTGCAGAGAAGGAGACATGGAGCGGGGAGGGCAGGCGTTCAGAAAGATGGACAGACAGACACAGAGACGGGCAGGAAGAAACAGAGGGAAAGACAGACAAAGAGACAGAGCAACAGAGCTGTGAGCTTATTTATAGATTCACATGTGTGCCCGAATGAATCTCTCTTGGTTCCTCGAGCGGGGCCTCATGCTGTGTTTCGTCCTCAGCATGACTGATTGATATGACTCATTTACTGGCTGCAGAAGGCTGTTAGGACCAACAGGCTGTGAAAAATTAAGATATCCTAATGAGAGGACCAGATAAGGCGCACAGCACAAGTTTGGATGATTCGATCTGATTATGACCATAAAATGCTGTCACTCCTAATGGATAATATTACAAAAGCCCTCTAATTTAACAAGCACCCTTCCCTCCAGCTACAATAGATTGAGATGTAATTGAAACAATTAGAGGCGGAGGAGGTAGAGGGCTCGCTGGTCACAGCTTGAATAAGAGAAGGCAATGCAGAGAATTCTCCAGCATCCCTCTGCCTCTCTCAGCTCTTCAACTTGAATGACCTCTGAGTCAATTGTCCCGATTTTTGTTTCTCTTCCTCCGTTTAATTGAATGAAAATATCAGTCTGCACAGCTCTCTCCTTGTTAGTTTCAGGGGGAAAATCCATTTCTGGTGCTCATACTTTGCTCTGTCCATCATACTGGAAACGCTTTCAATTAACATGACTTAATAAGAATTCAGGCTGCCGCCAAGCAATGGTGGACTCCGGCTTGTTTATGTTAACATGTCTGTGGCTTCATCACAGCCTTTAAAGGGCGCCCACTCTCTGTGACCCCCCGCGCCAAGCGTCACCCTCAGCTCGATGAAGCATTTCAGCTTTATCCTGCTCTGTTTTATTAGCTAATTGCACTGTGAGGCCTCCCTTGTATGGTGTTAACTGGCGGCGCAGGATGGAGACGGTGCGCGTTTCTTCAGCGAGGTGGGCTGAGGAGGAGTGCATTTCAGCTGAGCAAAGCTTCTGGCAGACACATTTGCGTGGGCAGAAAGTTCATTAATTTCTAAAACTGTGAAAAAATAAAGATAGGGAGGCATTAGGTTGATCCACGGGATTGAGCGCTGCACACCTTCATTCCCAGCTCACCTCTGGGGGCGGCACTGTATGTGTGAAGAGAGGATATCCCCATGGTAACGCAAACTCAAACAAAGTTGCAGTAGATGTGTTTGCAGGAGAGGCAGGATGCTTGGGGCAGCCACCAAATGTAAAAAAAAAAACAAAACAAAAAAAAAAAACAAGCTTTACACTAAACGCATCTCTGCCTCCAAGTCCTTCCCAGCACCATGAGATGGTAGCAGAGAGGCTCTTGAATCAGTCGCAGCATGTCCGTGGCAGTGAGATGACCTCATCCTGCACGGATAGATTTTTTTTTTATTTTTTATTCCGGCTCTGCCTAATTAATCTGGGCACTCTGGTTGGCGCCTGACAGCGGGCTTGTAAAGTAAGATTTGTGCCGTGCTCATTATCATTGATGAAGTGGAGTGTCAGTGATGCCAGGAAGCTCGGCTGGTCGGGGCTGATGTGGGTGAGCTGGTGGTAGAGAAGTCGTCAACCCAGTCACTCCTGTCTCCGCTCCGACAGTCCCACTCCCAGATTAATTGCTCCCAGACCAGTTTTGCGCTTGAATTGAATTGTAATGATTCATAAGGAAGTGTAAAGTGTCTGATTGTACGTGGATGTGGAGGTGGCTGTGATGATCCCTGGGGTATATTCTTCAGATTCAGTTGTTTAGCTTTTATATTGCAGCTGGTGGGGAAAAAAGAAACAAGCATTTTGATGATGTATTTATTTTTAGCTGGTGTTGCAATGCAAATTTTTAAATTTTATATTACTGTTCAGTTTATCCATTTATTAACTACTGTATTGTAATATTGTCCAGGGTCCTACTTACCCTGTCTGCCTTAACAAGATATTTTCCATGTGTTGAGAATAGAGACCTGGTAGCTATGACTCATCTGCCATGATTATTTGGAAATTTAACTCTTCATAGTGTTAATATTTTTCACACTTGTGGTTATGTGTATGTTGCTATATGAACATGATGTTTTTCTTTCAGAATCTTCCAATCAATTTTCCAACCTTCACTCATATTCCATAGGTTTACACAGGATTTATGGTCCTACTTTTTCATCAACAACACACACACACACACACACACACACACACACACATTCATACAGAGCTTTTTTTCCAAACATATAAAATTTTTCTACTATACACATACACTGCCACACTGATGTTACATATGGGGCAATTTTGGGTTCAGTATCTTGCCCAAGGACACTTAGACATGCAGATTTCAGGAGTCAGGAATCAAACCACTGACCTTCTGATTAGTGGACAACCTGCTCTACCTCCTGAGCCATGGCCATCCCATGCAGTGGCCTAATATAAATTAGATGTAGACGTTTTGCTACATGTCTTTAAGATTCATTTTTTGCTTTTGCTTAAATTTTTTACCATATATTAACATTTATTTTTCATTTTTCATTTTCTATGATCCTGAAAACATGGCTTCAAATCTTTAAGTTTATCTCTATAATATTAAATATTTACGAAAAAAGTTAAAAAGGAACATGTAGTAAGGAACAGGTAGTTTGTCAAAAACACATGCGAATAAACTACATAAACTAACCAGCTTTTTCTTTTATAAACAGAAATGTATTTTAACATTAAAATCCATTGACATAGACCAGAATGTAGACATTAGATTTGACCTGGTGTCTGAGGTTGATAAAAACGATATAAAAGCCTGCTTGTTGAATTGTGACTTAAAAGGTGATTTAAGAGGTCGGACCAGTTTTTCTCCACGGTTTTGTAAGCTCCTAAGCATCAGAGGCCTGATCAGGTTTGATGTTAAACAGAAAGATGGATAAGCAAGGCTTGTGTTGAGGATCTGAGGCGGCACATTGAGCTCACAGGGAGTTAAAAGGTCTGAGAATTTGTCCTACATGTAGATGATGTCTCGTGCGCCTCGATGAGGTTTTCTGGTGCCACTGGCACTGACTAATATGGCCACACAAGGCTGAGGTGAAGAAGAGTGAATGTGAACAGATGGTGATATATAGAGCGGGAAAGCCTCTATTTAGGTGGACCAGCCGGTTCATCTCAGACATATTGATCGGCACAATTTACTCTCTTTACTCAGAGGATTATGGCTCTGTAGAGTAATATAAAGGTTTCCTGACATGTCAATCAGCTGTCATGACCAATTCCACCGAGCAGACTTCAGCCTGTCACGGAGTTGGACTTGCCAACTCCCCCACCAATCACACAGACCGCATGTCTATCACCAAGGGTTCTTGGAGGGCATAAACTCAGTTTTTTTTACATGTAGGAATGATACTGATACTGTGGCTTTCTAGCATCTCTCTTGTTCAATAAATCAGCTTTATGCCTGCTGCAGTACATGTGGTTATCTTTACTCTGCCCTGTGCTACTATTTGCTTGTGTAACTATGAGTGATTAGGGCACAGTGTTAGTGCAGGGCACATGTGTTCAAAGTGCATGTTGTGGTAGCCCACCGTTTCCTTCTGACCCCTGAAAATGACTCTTTCGGCAGGAAGTGCGCATGTGGGCAGGCCAGCGACAGGGCACCGATTCCACGGTTGGATTTATTGTTGAATCCCTCCGTTTGGATGAGAGGCTCTGACCTTGCCCATCTCAGGTGGGGAGAGCTGATGCCTTACTACCCATGGGCTGTAGTGAAGTTATTAAAAACTCCATTACCGCCATTCAAAGGTAGACATAACTCACCGTGCGGATATAGAGATGTCAAAACAGAGATTGATCTGAGAAAGAAGTGTAACCCAGAGAAAACTTAAAAAAGGTAGAAAGACTGCCAGAACTGAAATACAGAGCTTCAGACATCAGTCAGAGCCCGACTGGATCTCTCAGCTACACATCTATCATTCCCTTTTTCAATAACCCCTCTCTGTCACTGTGTAGATCCTGAAGGAGTTAAAGGATGAGGACTGGAGCATGGGCAATATTGTCTACACGCTGACCAACAGGCGCTATGGAGAGAAATGTATAGCCTATGCAGAAAGTCATGATCAGGTAGGCTGTTCTCTACATGATCCTATACTTTGCAGTCAATAGAGTCTGCATCAGACCAGTGTGAATTATAAAGCCTATCACACCTTTCCAGGCTCTGGTTGGGGATAAGACCCTGGCCTTCTGGTTGATGGACAAGGAGATGTACACCAACATGAGCTCCATAGTTCCCATGACACCCGTCATTGACCGCGGCATACAGCTGCATAAGATGATTCGTCTCCTCACTCATGGCCTGGGTGGAGAAGGCTACCTCAACTTCATGGGTGAGTCATCCCGGTAACACAGGGAATCTAACACTTCAGCTGTATATACAGTCAATTATACTGTACACCAGGATAATGATATTAAGCAGTCATTTAGTAATGATTGAATACCTTTACTGTCTGCCATTCAATAAGATACTTTTTTTGATTTGTTGATTTTTTTGATTTTTTGATTTGAAACAGTTAATCCACAACAATCCATTATTCATTTCCATCACCAGTCCTTTGTATCTCTCTTTTACTTCTTTGCTTGACATCATTGTAAATTAGATATGTGGTTTTGAACAACTGGTCAGACAAAACAAACAATTAAATGTCACATTTGGCTCCAAGAAATTGTGATGGGCATTTACATTTTTTTTTTCTTTGACATTTTGTGTTGTAAACAAATAATTGTTTAATTTAAAACAATAACCTAATATACCCTACATATATATACATATATATATATATATATGTATATATATTTACATGATTTACATGACTGAATTTCATTTATGCAAATTCCAATTCAAAATTCAGACATAAAATGCTTATAATGTACATAAGTATAATCGTTTCGATTCAGCTTTCACATCATGTATCGTATTACATGTGACACAATAAATCAAATCACATTTCATGTCATATGCTGTCACATAACCATACCATTTGCTGAGGCCATCTTATTAATCGCACCATGTCTGTGCGGTTGAGGTGGCATTGAAATGCTGAACAGTCAAGAGGCGATAGAGGTCATGATTATGAGGCATCGTCCTTCTGTTTGGCTCATTTTTTATTAAAAGAGATGAGGGGAATCACTTCAGATCCCTCTCATGTACTGTATTCTTCCGGAATTTGAACTTCTCCCCTCAGGCAGACACAACAATCCTTAAGTGCTCACCGAACAGATATAAACACGCATTTATTTTCCTGTCCATCCAAGTCCTCCACAGGCAACAGGGAGAAGCAGGCTTCACTATAAATATTTAATTGATAAGCTATCCCTACTGTGTTCATTTACGCTGCTGTTAGTGTTTTCCTTTGTGCTGTACTGTCATTAATTTTCAGACGTATCATTATGTCATCGTGTGTGTTTTAGCTTCAGGGTAAGACTAAAAAAACAGATTTTTACCTTTGCAATAATAAATATATTCCAAATCCTAAAGGCTTAAAATAACTTGACATGGTCCTTGTTGCTTATTTTCCATTTGGGGTAAAGTGCCCAGTTATTAGATTTGTTATATTTCTTTCATGGAATATATCTCTGGAGTAGCTCACCACCAATGAGTCAAGGCTGATGATAAGCATCAAAGGATCCTTTTGAAGTGGGGTTGACATTAATACTCACTTTCCAGAGCTGATGGTGAAATACAGGACAAAAGCTGTCTAAGATCAGATAGGTTCTTTTTTTTTTTTTTCACAAATGGATCCAGTTCTCAGTCACTGTTGAGATGCTCCTCATTTTCACAGACATCATCTGAGCTACGGCACGGCTTTATCAAGGCCTGCTGGTAAAGATAATAAAGTGATAATTAATGACAGTGGAAGTTGACCTTGGTTGAAGGAAATGTGTTTCCTTGGGTGTGCTGCTCTCTGGCTTAATGTAAATACAGCCTACGCTTGTGATCCACAGCATTTTAGCTCCACCTGGTGACAAGGTGATCCGGTCAATCTCTTGAGTCTAAACAATCAAAAATATTTCTACAATGTCCGTGCTGGATTCATTATCACTCTTCAGTATTCACCACGATGTCCAGTCATAATAGAGGAAAAAAAAAAAAAAAAAAGAAGAGTGAAACGCCTGGTGAATTTCTGCTAAGTGCACTGATGTGTGGGGGGAAAGAAGCACAATCAAAGCAGCTGTTCTCGATAGACAATCATAGCAGGGCAGCTCATAATGAACAAGATGTCAGAGAATTGACCCCATGTGGGTAGTTGAAGGACAGTTGATAATAATTATATCTGATTTTCTGGCTAAAGTATAGCTAAAAGGCACACTCGGCTGTACTCTTGGTGCTGTACCCATGGATTTCTGTGCCACATTTACCCTCAACCAATCAGTGCAGCATCAGAATCATGAAGAGTTGATACAGTGAGTGAAAAACATAAGTCAATTTGACAATCATTTCATGAAGTCAGTTGATCATCTTCTGTTGAAAAAGATGTGCTCTCGTAAACATACACAGTATTTAAATGACAATCTTTAATGAGTGTTAAGTTTTAGTTGATGACTGATTTAAGCAGCACCCCGGTAACAAGGATGCCTGAAGTAATCCATAAATTGTCTTCGTGCAGATCAAAAGGCTTCAGTTTGTCTAAATAAGGCAATAATAAAAGAGCATGAAAGGGGCATGCAACTCATTATAAGAATTCACTGTATTTATGAAGCCAATCCAGTACAGTCACTTTAGGTTGAGTAATCTCTTACATATGAAGGACAAAAACGGCATAGGAAAAATAAATAAATAAATGAATAAGGGCATTAATTAATTAATTAATAAAAAAAAAATACAGAAATAGCATTTTTCATTACCAAAATGTATTTATTTCACATTTATTTATGTATTTAGTTATTTATTTCTGCACATTATTTATTCATTTATTTATGTATACTTACAAAGCTAGAAACAACAGAAACAGAAAGCTTATATTGTTTTCTTTACAGTTTCCGTTAATATTTTTATAAAAATATGGTTGATGGTCTTGTCTATCAAAGTAGTAATATGTAATATATATTTAACTTTGTGCTATCCATACCTCTATATATATGTGTGTGTGTGTATATATATATATATATATATATATATGTATATAATGTTTTTGCCCCCCATTGGTGTAAACCTTGTACATTCTTGCATTTGCATCTTCTGGATCGGTCTTTTCTGTGTATTATCCAGTAGGATAAACTAAATAAAAATTACAGCTGCTGAAATGATACACACAGAGATTCAGGTTTCAATTATAAATACTGGTATTCTGAATTTATATTCACTTTGAATTCCAACAGGAGAATGTGTATGTAAATCACTTCCAAGTCTTTCACCTGTCTTGGAAACATTTCTGTGATTGCCTGATGAAATCTGCCCCTAATGGGGATCCTCAGTCTTGTCCTGCTGGCTGTGAGCAGTTTTTAAAATCCAGATCAAAGATAGTTCCTCTTGCTGATGCAGTTTGCCTCAGTCCAGACTGGAAGCCATTTATCACCAGTTTTACTGCAGGAGCTTATGGATAGTCTAACACATATATGAGTGTCCTCCACTCCCTCAGTTATTCTGTTTTTTTCACAGGGTTTACGAGGACCTGTGAATACTTCAATCTTGATCCTTACTGAAACAGACAGCAGTGACTTATCAGTTAATTTATTGGTTTTTGTTTGTAGATGTTGTGTCATAGATTTGGAGAGAGGGCAAACTGTTCAGGACTATGAACAGAGCTGCTCTAAAGAATAGCATAAGTACCCAAGTAAAGTTGAATAAAATCTCCCTTTTCAAAATGATTACTCACTAACAATTACTGCTAATTCTTTTCCATTTCCTTAAATTGGAGTGTGCAAAATTACTCAGACAAATAAGACAAACTCACAATTCAAACTTTAATTTACCCCATTCTGTCAAATAATCCTCAGCGGTTTGAAGAGCAGAGATATGGAAAGGAGACTGGTATTACGGAGACAGGGAAATGAATATTGTTCTCTTTTGAGAACTGCTGTCTGGCTGACTAAAAGAATGGTGCCATCATCTTTTGATAACAGTAATAATGGATGAAAGTTAAAAGTTTTCTTTTCCTGAAGAACACAAAATCAGGGAACAGACAAAAAAAAAAGTTTCAAAATCTACAAAGACACACTCCAATGAAGTTCATCCAAGGCCATTGGGTGGGCGAGCATTAGGGAAATGCTCAAGAAAAGGAAAAAAAGAAAATCAAGTGAATCAGAGATGACATGCCGTGTCAATGGATCAATGACGGGAGAGTCATTTAGCCAGTGCTGAGCAAGAGCAAATTGTTTGAGCAAGCAAATCAATTTGAAGTGCCTAGCCCAGAAAAACCCATTTATTTACTCATGACCAATAGCAAACACCACACAGCAAGAGGACAGAGGGAGCATTCGTATTTGAGATGCTAAGAGACGGATACTGTAAGGGATGTTGGAGTGTCAATGACATTAAAGCGCCAAGTGGCGTGGCAGTAATGAAATGCCTCAGTGGTTTTATCATTACATCGGCAGGGACAGAATGAAACCACTCACACTTCCTGACTCTCAGGGCTCACAGAGACTTAAGATAACCTTGCAGATTTACAGTCTAAATTATTGAGCTAAAAACTTATCCAGCACTCTGTATTCATGGAGTGCTACAATGCAACAGGCAACCATTATACTGTGGCCCTGGACGATGAATTGAAAACCAGTGCTTGCTCCTCATACATTTCAAATAGATAATGTCACTGAGCGCTAACTGTGCTTTCAGTCTTGTGCCTTTGGTTGCACGTGCCAGTCCCTGCTGCTGGACCAGTAATGCTTATTTAATGTGCAAACTGGGAATGTACATTAAAACAGCAACAAGAGATCAATCTAGCAAGTGCAAATACACATTGCATCCAGTCTCTTTGCATTTCCATCTTAATTTTTTCTTTTTCGCACTGCATCTAAAACCTTATGCGACTCCCGCCTTCCCATCCCCTCAGATTCCCTCATTGATCTTCCTTTGCCAGAATCCCTCCAATGGAAAACACATTGATCCTTGGCTTCTTCTTGTGCTGCTAATTACTGAGGGGACTGTGTCACTGTCAGGCCCTTATCTGATGCAGGGCTGTGTAGAGGAGTAATGGGATGTGCCAGCTGAAAAGCTGTCTGACACAACCTTGTGTAAACATGGTTGCCCCCCATTAATCATATCATTATTGGAACCACTATAAATTTAAGCTTCAACATCATCCAACCAACTTTAGTTATTTCTTCCACCCTTTTGCATGGGTGCAAAATCTTAGTGCTTAAAGGAAAATATTTGTTCCTTTTTTTT